CTTTGGTTGCCAAAGCTTCCTTTCGATCATTGCTTTGCTGTTGCTGCATTGACAATGAGAAGGCTTGAAACAAACTAGCAATAGATGGATCCATGTGCATACCTTGTCCTTTAGAAGACTCTCCACCAGAAACTTCTGCCAAAAATCCTTCAAAATTTGTATTTTCGTTTTCCATAAAAATAAAGATAAAATCAACCAAAATCCAATACCTTCCACCTCAAGCTTTCACGTCGGGTTCACCACTTATGTCGTATTACGTGCTTTCCTGCTCGAGAATGCGCCGGGCGTCTGGCTGTAGAAGGTAGTATGGAGATTCGCCGATAGTCAAGCAGTCTATCAGTTTTTGACTGCTGGAATATAAACGACTGCAACAATGTATTGTAAATCTATACGGATGCTCTTCGACTGCTTATCAAAGTCCTTTTTGCCCCAGCCGATAGGTCTCTAGACGTTACAGAGAACCCCGAACAACCCAAACTGTTAATCTTCAATACCCCTTTGTACTTATGATCTTGTATCCACTGACTGTCTCGTTAGATTAACCCAATAAATTTCATTCACTCCGCATACTCAATCCTATAGACACCTCTTTAATCCTTCAATCACAGACGTAACTCGATTTTACAAAACAGTCAAGAGTATTCAAACCCACTTCATTTAAAAATCCCGATTCACCATTACAACACTGACTTCAGCAGCGATTGCCTCAGTCTTCCCAAAACTCTACGAAGAAGAAAAATCCAAATTCTATGTCTTTCCTTCCCCGACCCAAAGCATGAAGCTCCTCTCTCTAATTCCCTTGATCTTCAAAAACCTCCAATGAAACCGAACTGGTAACCTTGCAAAAGCTTGAAAACTCGCTCCCCCCCGATTCCCCCCCTAACCTTATCCTCTGAATTTCTTCAATCTTTCGTCTTAGATCCGGAATTGGCTCCCACCTCAAGCTTGGATCCGAAATTGGCTCTCGCCGTCAAGCTTGGATCCAAAATTGGCTCTCGCCGTCAGAGCTTTCTCCTCCGTTTTTACCTTTAAGAAATCTATTTACCGAAAACAACGTTCCCTAAAACGGCACAGAGAACAGGACAGCCTGAAACAGAATCGAACCCCGTAATCGGGACCACATTGAGTCGCCCGACCAATTCAGGTCCTATATTGGGAAAGATGTCCGTAGTAACCTGGATGTTCCCGTAATTGGGTCAAATTGGTCCTCGCGTCAGATTGGCTAAGACCCGTAGTAAGACCTGGATTTCCCGTAATTAGACTGCATTGGGTTGACCGGCCAATTCAGGTCTCATATTGGATAAGAGGACTCGGATTGGATTATCGAAATTGGATCCAATTGGCTCCTCAAACTCGTCGTGTGAATTGGTCCTTCTCTTCCTGCTGACTCCCGTTATTGGAATCGAACGGAGCATTTCAGTATGCCCCGGCTGACTGTAACGGAGTGATTGAACCTGACCACTCAGTATTTGTACTGGAGTTGGTCGATGCTCCCAATATTCGAGGTAACTGAATATTAATAAAATCCCCTTTCTTTTTATTTTCACTGTATACTCGTGTTACAACACGACACCGGAGTCAATGAAAATCCATCCAATATTCCACGTGTCTTTTCTTGAACCATATAAGACAGTAGACATACCAAGAAGATGACAAGCTCCACCTCCTCCTATAGAAGTGGACAATAATAAAGAGTTTGAAGTAGAAGAAGTCCTAGATTCAAGGCGACGCCGAAATAAATTAGAATATCTTGTCCATTAGCGCGGATATGGTATTAGTGAATGCACATGGGAGCCAATAAAGAATCTTGTAAATGCAGCAAAGGCGGTGGAGGCTTTTCATCGATGACATCCATCAAAATCAAGATGAAAACCTTCTTTATAAAAGAAACAACATCTAGGCAAGATAACAATCTACTTTCAATTCTTGTTCATATCTTCATTGTAGTAGTGACGCTCAGGAGATGGAGAACCAACAACCAGCGGATTCAACTCAAGAGCCTTCATTTGCTGACCTGTCCGACGATACATTACAATTGTCACAACCTTCAAGACGACGTAATCGAGATGAAGATCTTCAAGAACGACATGTTCTTCCTCGAATAGATGGTGAGATACAACGCGTTTGGTATCATGATTTGGGAAGGGACTCTCGATGTTTGGTGATTTTGCTAGAGGTAGGAACAACTCCTGATGGTGTTCCAAATATTCTATTCGAAGGAAGTTACGAAGGCCTCAACAATGATCGAATAAGTGGGTGGTCTTCCCACCCTGATATGGGACACTACCGATGGTTGAGAAGTCCTATCAATCATCTTCGAAGAGAACAAAGATCAGAGTATGTGGCGAATACAATTCGTCGCATCATAGATTTTCTCAACATATGATGACCGCTCCTCGTGGAACTCGTCTATAGAAGGGGGGGTAATGTCACGGCCATAATCATGTAAGCTAATAATTACATATAGAAATAGGTAGAATTAAGTAAAAGTAGATAAAAGTAAGTTAATTCTATAATATTTAATATAGAAGCTTCCTAGAAACTTCCTAGATGCTACTTTGACTTCATAGGTGTCTTTAATTGACTTTTTGGATTAGAAACGTGGTCAACAAGTTGGCCATGTGCCACACATGTTGTTAGCTTGAAGATCAAGCTAACTATGTGGCCCACACGTAGAAAAACTTTCTTTGTAAGTCAAGGCATGTGTCCTACAAAGTCAACACATATTGGAGGTCCTATAGAACGTCGCCACGTAGCCTCTAGTTAGATAGTATATATAGAGACAAGAGTGAAGGCCATTTCACTCTTGTCAACTCCTTTCTTACTTCTAGTCTAATTTCAAGGGTCTCTAGTTTTCTTGTCTTTTGGCAATAGCCATTCCAGTTTCTATTTCAATATATATACTTGTCTATATATTTTTTGGTACCTCTCTTTGAGTGAAGGTTCACTTGTCTGAATTGTTTTTTTATCGAGTTCTTGTCCTTGACATATATAGATATAGATATAGATATATATATATCGAATATTTTTCTAAATTTTAGAGTATATTTAGATTTTTTTGGTATTTATTTATTTATTTTTAGATTATTTATGTTTGCATGGATTATAATTTAAATTTGATATAAGTAAAAATTATTTGAATTGAGGATTCTAAGAGGATGTTTTTTTAACACTTCACGCATTTTTTCGGATTATAAGAAGAATTTTAAGCTTATATGAAACCTTTCTATGATCTAATTATCCAATACATTCTAAAGCTAATTTTTGCATAATACAATAAAAGAAATATTAAATTTTATAGTGTACTTCTTTTATGGATATAGGAATAGTATTTATATGGTAGAAATTACTAGTACATAATATTTTTGCTCAAAATCTGTAAAACTTATAAATATATTTTCACTTCTATCAAGTATATTATTTATATTTTTTTCTCTTTCTATCTAAGTAATAGACAATATTAACAAATCTACAAGTGAAAGTAGAGAGTAATTTATAATATCTAATATTGAAAAAAAATATTTACAAATATAAGTAATCTACTCTCTTTATAGAAAATAATTCAATTTTAGAGGAAAAAATAAAATAAAATAAAGTAAAATAAATTATTTAAACGTAGATAATCTACAACCATCAACAATACAACAATGTTTCTTAAGAAGTAGGATAATTTATTTACTTCTTAAATAAAATAATAACAATAACAAGTTGGTAATCTTGTTAAATTGTTATGGATATGAATCACAAAATAATTAAAAAGACAATAAAGTCGTATTTTATTAAAAAAACAAAGAAACAAAGGAACAAAGAAGATAAGGTTATTAAAAAGAAAAGAGTTAAATACAAAGAAATTAGTGAAGCTTGAAATAAGACTAAAACATAAGAAAGGTATTGACAAGAGTGAGGATGGTCTTATCATTATCTCTATATATATTAGATACTAAAAAGGCCATGTAGTTGCTAAGACAAGTAGCCAACTTACTAAGCCAACATGTGGTGAATTTATCAAGCCAATATATAGCCAATTTATTAAAGAAAAATGGCCAACATGTGCCAATATGCTTCTATCATATTCTACCTACTTCTATTTTAATTCTATTTACTTAGGTTATTATATATTTTTTTCAAAAATAATAATAAAATAAAATAATTAATTACCAACTTACAATTTAGAATCTTTTTATATTTTAATAATATAACTCTATCTTCTTAACCTGTTTATTAGCTAACAAATAGCCATGCAAAAGCTTTCTAAAGACCAAAAAGTTTGTGGATTAATTGTCAAATTAGTGAGATACTTTAATAATAATTTATTAGATTTAAATAATTTTGAAGTTAAATTAATGGCTATTAGGCATATCAAGAGATATTTTTAATTCCAACCCCTTTTGTACTATTATCTTGGTTTAAGTTCTTTAAAAAAAATTATATTTAATAATAGATATACTTATTTTTTACTATTATAAAACCAAAAATTATTCATATTTATATTCTTTTTTTCGCACATAACTTGATTATATTTTGGCAAGTATTAAAGATTTAAATAATCAACAACTAAGTATCTTTATTTCTCGTTTTTTATATTTCTAAAATTTTATTACAAAGAAGATAAAATCTTTTACTATTATTTCAATATGCTCATCAATTCCAATACAATTTTTTGCTTAAGCTCTATTATCCATGAGCTAAGTTTTATTATTTTTTTAAGGTTTGATATTCATATATATATATATATATGTATATATATTTACACAGTTTTATTTTTTTCAAATCCATTCCATACAATGAATCTTAAAAGGTTGTTAAAAATATTTACATACATATAAAAACTATAAATAAATAAATAAAAACGAAACATTAAGAAAATTGTAATAACTATAATGAAAGCAAAGAACGACACCATTTTCATACAAAATCCAAGATAATTCAAAAACAAATGTACACAAGTCAGAATCAGGAACTAAAAGAACAAATAGAACAAAAACACACAGTACCCGATGGATTCCAAGAGTTTATCTTTATTATCCAGAAAAAAAAAAAAAAAAAAAAAAAAAAAAAAACACATACACACACACACACTTAAATGAAATATATTCTAAGTACACTGCAAGCAAACCCACACTACAAGCTGTGGGAAAAACTACGGCAAGATCCATCACAGAGCGGCCGACACTGGGTGAAGCTTAGGCATTAACATACTCTACATTCTATTCAGCAATGTGGTGGTGGTGGTGGTGGTGTCGGTGGCGTCGGCCGAAACCATGCAGTGCCCCGAAACAATCCTCCAGGGATGTTGGAGAATATCTGTACCTCGGGACGGGAGGTGGGTGCAGCAATGGGCCCCTGCAACACAACGGGTGTTCTACAAAGTAAACCCCGATTTGCGCTTCGGTAAGGTTTGAGGCCTTGAAATAGCAATTCGCATGGGAATCGGTGTTAGGCTTGGGGAAGCTTGGCAAGGAACGGCAATGGCTCCACCCCAGTCTGATCTTTGATGGTGGAGAAGAGAGGCGGGATCATCTTGAAGAGATCAGCGATCGGGGCCGTGCCCGCTCCTGAGTCGCTCGACGACCCTGTGTTCCAAACAGTGATCTTGGGTTGAAGCCCTTTCACGGCTCCCGCGTTGATTTCGCCCATTTGTTGATACACTCGCCTATCCAACATGAGGTAGTTGTGGAATGCGGCGTAGTTCCCTTCGAAGGCCGCCAGCATGCTCTTAACGTAGGCTGCTTGAGCCTCTGCCATCACCACAATTCCTGGGAAAACAAGCCACTGCCCTTCAGATCGTGCAAAACGCTCATGGAACTCTGACGTTCCTTTAACATTCGAGATCTAACCGCAAACGATGCATACAAAATGTCTTCTACAACCCAAATCTCCGGCCGCATCGAAGAGGTAGAGAGAGGGAGAGAGAGAGAGGAGCACCTTCAGCTTCTTTGTGTTTGGCGTACAGCGCTGCATCCGCTTCTTTGTTTTTGGAGTAGAGTGCTGCATCGGCTTCTTTCTGCTTCACATACAACTGCGCTTCCGCTAGCCTTTCCTGTCCTTTCGCCTGTGCCTGGCGTGTGTACAGCTCTCCTTCGGCTGCCTGCTGTTTCTCGTAGAGCACCGAGTTTGTCACCTGCATAGAGGCTTCGTAATCCACCTTTGCCTTCGCTAGTTTCTCCGCGCGAAGCTTTTCCGTTTTGGCCTCTGCTTTCTTCACCTCCAACTGCTTTTCCATCTCCGCATCACGAATTGCCGCTGTCCTCTCGGATTCGATGTCTGCTATCTTTGACTTCTTCTGCAGTTCGGCCTTCATGATGGCCAGTTCAGCATTGGCCTCGGCGACCTCTGCTTCTTTCTGGTTGGCATACACCTGGATCTCTGTGTCGATCTTGATCTCTTGTTGCTTGGCCGCACCAGCCTGAGACTTGGCGTAGATTGCTGTGTCGGCATTCACTTTTGCAGCATTCCTGAGGGTCTGACCTTCGCGCTCCTTGGCACCAGTGTCACCCTTGTACTTCGCCTCGGCCACGTCCACCTTCGCCTGGTTTGCAGCCCCTTGCTGTATCTTTTGCCCCAAGAAGGAGAAGTACTCGGCTCCTGGGATGTCCACCAGCTGCTTGATGTTGGCATTGTATATATGAAGACCGAATTGGTTGAGCTCCAATTGCACCTAGATTCGTGAGAGCACCAATTAGAATTGTGCATCCTGGACGTTTGCATAGAGACGGTATAGCCACATGCAGGAATGTGAAACAAGCGACAAATTGCAGGTCCAGCAACTCCAGGGAAGTCTGCAGCGTTCTCTCTTGGTCTTCATGTGAAAGGGATCGTGGAAGGAGCAAGCACGAAGAAAAGTGTTAGGAATGAAGCTTTCCGGTACCTTGTCAAAAACCTCAGCCTTGAATTGCTTGGTTCCACGAAAAATGTCCTCCATCGTCATACCGGCTGCCAACACCCGAGTCTCTCCTTCCACGATCCCCTTCACAAGCTCGACCACATGATTCCCTGATTTGTCGTGGGACGACATGAGCTTGCCATATTTCATCAGAGATTCCGAGTCGTCCTTGGGACCAATGGTGAAGACTGCCGGTAGGATGAACGGCAACTTCTCGGAGCTCATTGCGTGCACATCGAATTTGTAGTTGGCAGGACTGATGTCGAACCTTGAAAACTTCTGACCAGGATAGATCCATCCCTTCTTCTTCAGCTTCACATCCTTGATACCCGCCCCCGTGACCACCAAGTACTCATTGGCAGCAGCGGTATGGAACGCCATGTCTGAAAAACTGTTTGAGAACAAACTGCTGGAGAATCGAAAGCCTAACAAAAAGCACAGGAGGATGAGCTCCGGACTTGGAACACTAGAAAGTCAGTAACCATTTTCCAGTTACTCAAGTCGATTCAGACAGCACGCGAGTATTATCGCATGCGCTCTGCTCATCGAAATCCCTCCTTCTCACACAAAACTCGCAATTCAAAAGCTGGGCCGACGGAACCAAACAATATACAAACCGGGCACGAGGAGCTGGAAACCACAGCATTGGTTGCATCCAAGAAGGAGTCGCCTTCTTCTCTTTATGATGCCTCCCAGCTCTTGACCTTGCACGGCACCGACTGAACATTGCCGACTAACCCAAAAGTCAATGAAACCATGAGATCGGATGGCCATCTTAGAGGTAGTCTTCCGAGGGTTGCTTTTAACGCGTCATGTGGCGAAATGTTCGCATTTTACGCGAAATGAGAGAACTAGCGATGCAAGGAGTAGTGAAGTAGCTGGTATTCCAATATGCTGGAGCAGGATAAGCCAGGTTTGAGCGATGGATCGGGGTTCCACGATTTCAACGATCGTGTCGCACATGGCAGATTCCAAGCTGGGCACTTTTGGCATAGTTTGCAGTTGCCTATGGTTGCCAAACATTGAACAAAATGAATCGTGTGAGATACTGGGGCGTTTGGTTTATCGTTTGCAGAGGATAATGACAAAGTTTACGAGAGCGATTCTTACCCAGAAACCAATGAAAGCAATTTAAAAAAAAAAAAAAAACATTTGATTGAGGATGATCGTGTAACTGTGAAAATTGAATGTTTTCCTGATACAAAAGCTCTACAATGAATAAATGCCTGTTCAACCACATCATTTTGGAGACTTTTGGGAGTCAACAGCGATGCCTTTTACAAGTTTACCCACCTGAACAAATGTTAGAAGGCAAGCTATTATATACGCCTCACTGACAGATCCTTTGCGTGCAGTGAGAACCGGCACGTTGAACCACAGCCGACTGACTGGACTCAAGTTACTCCGGGATCATTTATTTATCAATATTTGTTTGCTCACTAGACGACGCTCTTCATGAACCCCAACTCTCTAATGCTTATACAATACTTGCGGACCGATTTCTTTGTCTACACAGTGTCTCATAATTTACAAATAATTCATATCAAGTCAATATCAAGCACGTATTAAGTTACTAGTTCACTTTCAACTTTGATATGGTTAATACATTGTTGGAAATGAGTCAACGTATTTTCTACAAAAGTTCTGTATTCTTGACAGATGAACAAGATAATTTGTGAATGACTACTTTGTTGAGCTCACTTATGACATTGACTAGTGCTTCATGATTTTTTTTTTAAATGGACGTATACCATATTTTTTTTGGAAAACTTTCAGAGGAATGATATGAAAGCATTAAAGCTATTAAATAAAAGATCAATTTTCAATATACAAGTTGAAAGTTAGAAATTTTTGTTTATAATTAAATTCAAAAACATATATGATTCTATAAATATATCAAGTGTAATTTTATAAGTCATAATCATTTTTATTGTATTTTTAATTATTTGTTATCATTGTTGCAAGAAACATTGCAATTAATGTATTAATCATCTTTTGTGTTTAGATATACATATATGCTAATTGCTATTGATTGATCTCACATTTTATTTTTATATTTTAATAATTTGAAAATTCTACAAGCATTTGTTTAAAATTTAAATTAATCATTCATACTTTAAAGATGTTTTAAAGAATAAATAATTCTTGTTTATTCATGGAATTCTTCTAACAATTTTTCTTTATTCTTGTTATTAGAATTATCTCTTTTTTTAGTTTTTTCCTTATTTTTTATTTATTCTTTAATTATTCTCTATTTAATTTCAATTTATTTTGGATGTGTCTTATATTGACATATTTTTTAAGAATCTTTAATTTTTCTTTATTGATTTTTATTAGAAACCAAATTGATTTTTTTGAAAGAAATACTTTAATGTCAAATATACTTTGTTGAATTTTAAAATTAATATACATCTATATTAAAATATAAGTATTTTTTATTATATATTTCTATTAAGTAATCTTGATAATATTATATAGTATTATTAAAATTATTTCAATCTATATTTTATTTAACACAATAAAGAATACTTCTATTATTAGCTTAAAAAGTCTTTAGGCTTAGAAGACAAGGTGAAAGGTCGCAACTTTTAAATCCTTTAATTGATTGAAATTAAGAAGTTCCATTGTGTTACATTGTGTGCCTTGAAAAATCAAGCCAAATGTCCTAAAAAGAAGAGACAAGATGAAATGTGTTTTTTTCTTGAATAAAAAGAATAGTGTTACTTTTAGGAATTTCTATTATGTTAGTCTTAAGAAGTGGTTTCTTTAAAATAAAAAAAAAAATACTTTAAAAGCACTCAAAAAAGTAAATCAGTACTTTTATGGTTTATAATTGTTAAAATTAAGGTATATGTTAACATATGTAAAATTGTAATAAAAAATGATTGGTGTGTTTCATGGCATCTTCTCATTATATACAATATCCAAAAGCCAAAGATGTTTGAATGTATAAAGTATCTTTTTCATAAATTCCTTTATATTATGTTATGATGCACATAAGAATTATAAAATAATATATAAAATTAGAAAGTAAAAACAATTTTTTGTTAGAAGTTAAAAATGTCTAGCTACATAGACCATTATGTTTCATTTATTGGTATTATATCCATTCTTAAATTTATCTTATTTGAAAAACATTGTGCAATATATTTTAATTCATTCCAACATATACATAGCTTATGTAGTTGTTACATTTATTTATTTTTTTTTTTTTGGATTTAACAATTCAAACCATATCTTATGAGTTTGCATCATATTATTTTGATTTTGGATGTTAGTACTTGTGATGCAATACATTCTTAATGTAATCAATTGAATCACAACATTTTATTTTAGTTTATTTTATTATTTTCTTTCAAACATAAAATTGTTACTTATCATTTTTAATACAAAAAAATATACCTAAAATATTTATTATTTTTATTTAATGTATATATTTATATAATCTTTAATATTTGATTATAATTTATTATTAAATTTTTATTTCATTTCAATGAATTTTATGTGTGAATTGTCAATATTAGTTGTGTGTATTAACAAAAGACATATTTTTTGTCACAGATTTTGTAATCTTCTGCTTGAAACTATTTTTCTATTACTTTTCTCTGAGATTATATCAAATTCCATCACAAATGCATTTTTGCCAAGGATGCTAATCAAATCAATGTAGCACAAATCTAAATTATTTATATGACTTATACTTCATTATTCTATTATATTAGCTCCCATGATAAAAGTGTAAGAAGAATCATACTTATTTTAAAAGCTAAAAAAAGGATGTATTAATAAATTTATCAAGTATTTTAATATTGGAGCCTTTTGTTACAAATTATCAACCTTCTTTGGAGGCAGATTTTCTTCTTTTGTCAATTAATTCCAATTCTTTCAATTTTTTTTGTTACTTGTTTAAAATATCTTCATGGTTTATAATCTAAGAGTACGAAGTTGGGTATTATGCTAAACTTCTATGATGACTTGTGAGTTATTTAGGACCATGGCAGTGTTTTCAAGTGTATTAGCAAGACTAAACCAACAATAATTTTGCACAAATATACTACATGGATATTTACGTTAACTTACAAGAGAGTAATCTACTTATTAATACTAACCATGCCAATTTCCACAAGGAATTTTTTTAGATTTTCTATTTACTTAAAAAATAATCAAAGATCTATTAAAACAATTTTTTTATAATTTAAACTGCCTTCCATCTCTATCTAATGAATGCACTAATCTATCCAACCATTTGCAATAAAATAATTGCTTGGTATTATTAACTCATTTCGAGAGAATCCTAATGTGTTGTGATTATATATATATATATATATATATATATTCATAATTATGAACAAGGAGAGAACATCTCAATGTTTTTTTTTTTTTTTTCATTTTATTTTTCATATTCAAATAAAGGCATTTATTATAACATGAAAACTTAGTCATATGTCTTGATGTCATCATTTTAGTTTTAGAATAACAAGAGGTTATTTCTTTTCATAAATGTTTTTACAGAAAACTTATGAAAAAAACTTATTTGTGGATTCTTATGCCATCCTTCAATACCTCTTGTAAATTTTTTTTGGTCCTCCATCCTACAAGTTCATTATTTGTAACATTGTATTATATGTTGAAATATGACCATTAATGATAACAATAATAAAAATGGACTTGGTTTGGAGAGATGAAAAGAAGATAATAGTGTAACAACTGCATAGGATAGTTGTAGTTAGATTTTTAAAAATTATTTGTGACAAATATAAAAGTATCTAAAATCTGTGAGATATTCTAGAAATATCATGATGAACAATCATGTTATTAATTTGTGGGTTTGAGAAAAGTGTATATCCAAGTAGGGAATTTCATTATACATGCATTTGTATTTTGGTTGAATCAAAGATATATTTTAGTGAACCTCAGTCAAAGGTAATGTCTCAAAGTCTTAATGATAATATTTCAAACTTTATTGTTTTTGATCACAGTATTAGAAATTGAAACTAAATTGATATGTAATGTAACTTTTTTTCTTTCCTTTTTTTTTAGAAACTAGACATGGCAAAAATTATGCAAAAAGGTATTATTTTTTTTCTAAATTTTTGATTAATGAAATATATCCCTGAAATATATATTGTGGAGATTACAAAAAAAACAACAGTGCAAAAGCAATACCCAAATTTAACTTTTTAAAGAAGTATCTTGTATGATGGAGGAAAAAAAATTAATATATATTCACACATATCAGTTGGGTAGGAATTTATTTATGAGTCTACATGAAATTAAATACAAGAAAAATGTACAAATTTATTCTCAATGAAGAGGTATTATTATATTAAAGCAAGCAAACCTTAACCTAATATCTAATTTCTAAACTTTACACTTGCAAATCACTATACATACTAACTTTAATTACCTTCATCATGCCCCTATCCTTAACCCGTTCTGCTGGTGAATATAATTTCCACGATGTGTTGCTAATTTTCTAATCACTTAACCGTAATCAGGCTCTTGGATATGTCTTACCCACAGAGATGAACAGAGTCGTCACACACATGGACGAATAGAAAACGTCGAATGGACGCGTTTTAGGGTTTCGTTCGAGCCCCTTCCGAACCCCCTCACGTTACTCGGCCCTAATCCTCACTCTCAATCCTTAAGAATCCACCGAAGCCCACTCTCCTTCTCGATTTCTTTCTGTGCCCTTGTCCAAGGTCTTGTGTGGTTACTTGTCTTTTCGTGTTGTAGCAGGTCTTGTATTGTACTCTGAGGTCATATTTTTACGGATTTGTTGATGTTTCAATTAGAAAGGGTGGGCTTTCTCTTTACGTTTTCTGCCAGGGTAGATTCGTTCTACTGTCCGACGTTTTGCTGGTTGTTATTGTATTGCAGTACGGAGTGTGGAGGAGAGATTGTCGCTGCAGCCCAACGCTACACCGTGTGTTTTTTGAGTATTGAATAACTTCTATTCTGGATTCCGAAAGTAGAGTGGGAGATGATGAGACTTATTCGCCTTGCCCGAATGTATCCTTGCGACACATCATGTGGGTTGCGACTCATGATTTGCACGTCAGTCTGATCCCTTAGTTCCACGGTCTGGTGTTTTTTTTCGCTGTAATGTGCAAGCGTGGATGTGATGATGAGAAATTGTCGCCCCAGTCCTACTCGGACGCGTAATGCGTTTGCTGAGGATTGACTATTTATCAGTCTGATTCCTACACTGCTCCAGGAATGTTGCTCATTCGATGAACGGTAGAACGGTGGTTCTCCTTTAGCGTCGTGCCACTGTCCTTCATGTAGCTGACATTTCTAGAAGAATGAAAGCCGACTGCCTTGATCTGAATGTAGATTTCGCACATCTGTCACTGTCAAGGGTTGGAGATTTACCTCCTCACATTGACTCCTCCAAAATTGTGCAATATTGACGCTGGTGCTTCGCCCCCAGAATGTGTCCTGTTGATGATAGTTCATGTACGGGGTGATCACTACATTTCACTCACACAATGCCCTTTCATTTGTATTTACGTTCATGCGCGAATCTGAAGTCGAGCAGTAAGTTGGCTAGGATTTGTCCTGATAGTGTGACTAGTCACCGTATCATCTGAAGCTACCATTTTCATGACACTACCCGGTTATGGACAGCACATGCCATTGTGAAATTACAAGTGCAGTGAAGGGAAGTTTTGATCTGGTTAATAATCTCATCTTGAAGAAATGGTTATGTGAACTATAACTTTACTTGCGGTCACCTGTGCAATCGGTTCCAAGTAGTGCTGCACTTTCGAACACTGGTTGCTGCACGCGAATGGAAAACTGTTCGCTGGAGATAAAGATATTTATCTTCCATACCCCTACCATTGAATCACATCTCCGCTTCCAGAATGGTCTTCATAATAAGAACTCCTTAATTTAAGATGTGAGGACAATGATATTACTGACAACATTCGAATGTAGACAGACGTTGCCGAGTCGCTCCTTCAAATAGAACCCAATTACTTGCTACACACAGAATAATGAAATTAGTTCAGGCAAAGGCGAAACTCCAAGAAATAAGTATTAACAAAATTAATGGTGTGCGTATGGTAAAATAAATTATGTCAATATTCTTGATTTTTGACTATTTCTTGTGAATATTGATTTCTTCAATAGTTTTCATTTATGGGTGAAGTCCAAGACTAGCCATTGAAAAACGATTACATTGTTTTAACCTTTCTTGTAACTTTCAACGCAATCTTCTTATTAGTTATGATCGAAATTCATTGCAACTCTTCTCATTTATCATTATTGAAATTCATAGCAGAAGACATTTTTCTTGAAATATGTGACTTTTAAAGGGTTTTAGGATAAATTTGTTCAAAGAAGTGGATGGATTTGCAAATTGAATGGCCTATCTCATAAATAATTTCATCTATTTACAAATGAACTTATAAATCGTTTGGTGTAGATCATAAGGTTATAGTAGTATACATTAGATTCACATCAAGTACATGAATGTTAGCATCACACATGCAAGCCACATACACTAGACCATTACAATTTTAGGAACCTAATACTCATTCTTACACGATTGCAGAAACGCAGCTGTAATTTTTAATTTCAATCAATATACTCATAATACAGAATGAATCAGAAACCGATGCCTCCGTGGGGCTCCGGATTTGCAACAGTGGATGCAGTAACAAAAAAATGGTGTAATAGGGTCAGCAAGTGAGTGGAGTTTAGGAAAATGTGAGGTACACAGCCAAAATGTAACACTGACATGCAAGCGGGTTGAAAAAACACCAGCTGTCATTCCACCGTGGGCTGCCCAACTCATAACTGAACAATTCTTCGAATGCTGCTCAATTGCAAAGTGGGTGCTAGAAAACCTCTGAATCATGTTCCATTTCTTATTCATTGTGTTCCAAAGCCTAGAGTAATGTTTGTTGGCAACAAAATGTCATCTGACAGACGCAAAGCTGCATTCTAGACGCAACCTTGCAAATGTAGGATGTTACACCATTGTGTAACCTGTTTCATATATTTTATCGTGTGCAATTGACGAGGCAGACAGAGAACCATTAGGCATCAACGTGTACCACTAGGATGCATGATTGTTCAAAACAACATTTTCGACGGATTATCATCATGATGCGGTGGAGGGAACTTGGTAATCCTTGATCGCATAATGGATTAGTCTCGTATTACTGGGGATGGTTTCTCATATCAGAACGAAGACAATACTGTTGCCGGATGCATCCATCACTGACTGATCAGGACAGAAAACAACGTTAAATCACCTAAACTATTTAAGCATCGAAATTGTTCGTGGATGAGTGGTGTTCCTCATCAGTCAAATGAGGTAGGGGAAGTTGCCAACTTCAGTACCCACAGTCCGGAACAATTAGTGAGCAGTGAAGTTTAAGAGCCTCCTGTATCTGGTGACTGCCTGTGAGTGTTCTCTCTTCTACTACACTCCGCGGATCCTGTCGTGGTGATGACTCAGAAGCTCGGCATTAGCAAGAAGTGAATTCAGCTTTGATGAGGCATGCCACATTTCCAATCCCACCTGGAAATAAAAAAGACAAAAAAAGATTGCAACTGATATGGTCAATTATAAGGTTGAAAGGATCTTGCAACTAAGATGAGCGTTAGAATTCTTTTAACATGCAACTATGCCAAATCTAAATCAGCCCTTTAAACAAGCAAAAACATATCTCTAGCACATATAATCTATCACAACAAAAACGATGAACTCGCACTCTTATTTCTAATGGAATTGCCAACGCGCTCTGCAGTGCCCTAAATCATGCAAATATGGTGGTTTTATTATAATGCGCTCCATTAATATGGTACAACAATGCATTTTCAGAGTGGGTGACGCAGAGTAACCTGTACAAATCTGATATTCGCAAACAACCATGATTCTGCCAATGATATCGAAATCTAAAAAAAAATGCTGGGTTGACAATGGCAGATTGTTCTAGTCGAAGGAAAAGGAGCACAGATCAAGTAAAATGCAGCAATAGGCTCAGTCTGTCATGAACTCAGAAAACTAGTCAACCGACAGGCTCGTGCATGTTCTTGTAAATTATCAAACGCTTTTCACCATATGCTCACAGAGCTGGGATCATTTTATATTGCAGGTTGGAAGCGTGAGAGTGAATATAAGTTCTCAGACGCACCTTGTTTTTGACATGCTTTATTCCGAAGCACCTACATCTGCATGAAACCAATACGATTCGACTTCAAAGTACTTGCACTGAGATTCTTCATAATCTGAATAATAAGATATGCTATTGAACAATAAAGCTCGTGACTGCCGCGGAGTGAAGCAAGATGGCAATCTAACACAAAACGAAGCAACCTTCCGAGCGATTTTCTTGACTAGAATTTTGGCACGAAGTCTCCTCTCTATTGCTCTCTCCTCCCTCGTCTTGCATACGTACACAGCCAAAAGACTATATTCTCTCCCTTCACTGATCGACATTTCTCCTTAATGGTTCCAAAGTGGAATTACACAATCAAACAGTAGTCGACCACATCAACCCTGTCAGAACGAGACCATGGAGTGCGCCTCGACTCACTTCGGTAGCGTTAACAGTGGATCTCATGTATCTAAGTACCCAATGCACCGCCTTCCCTCTAATTTCAGGGTGACGATCCTCCGTGTCGGAGTACCACTATCTTTGCCTTTCTCCAGCTTGTCGGACGCCCTCATGCAGGATACGAGAGAGGCAGGTGCTGTCCGATCAAGTTCAAAACAAACTACCCAATTCATCTACATTCATCATGCCACGAGCATCTTGTATACACCGCCGTAGTTCCAGAGCTGCGGAGCAGATCCATCGAGCAAGCTGTCGAATCGTCAAATCCTGAAAGTCAAGGCAGGCAACGAAGACGGATTTCCCTACATCCTGAAATCCCATAGGCGTGTCTTCGGGATACGTATCCTCTGGATCTCACCTACAATACATGATTACGATAAGACTGTCAAGTTTTATCGCGAAAAGCTCACAGCTAAATCGGGAGGATTCGCCGTTTCCAGCAGTTGCGAAACTAAGTTGCAGCCTGGAGCATTGACCATCAACGGTCTCACACAATACATAAACACTTCCCTTAGAGTTTCCATGTGGGCGAGTATTTCGGATATTGTGCTTCCGCTGCTTCGATCGAAACCAGTCCTCCGCTGCTACATCTCCGATGCCTCATCGTCTCGTCCAGTCTTTATTCAACAATATTATTAGCATGGTATAAGGTACTAGAGATTAATGTATGTGTGTCTTTAGTTTATTGTGTGTTTACTGTATTTAGTATTTTAAGGAAGAAATAAAAAGAAGGACGAAAATATGATGTGTACTTGTGTTTTAAACACCTAATTGAGCCAGATTTTAAATGGATTGTTTTTGAAGGTGATAACAAATTGCAACCCAGTTTCCTAATAACATAGCATGTTTATTCACACTTTTTCCAAGAATAACTCATCGAGTATTGTAATTAATTGCTCTGGTCTTCGAAATCTAGTCTTTGAATTTACAATAAAAATTTGATGTAATTTTTATTTTGAAGAAAGAAATAAATGAGATTCATTTGGAACAATCTCAAAATAACGTATCAAAAAAGAAAAAATAGTAAAATAATCCAATCGAACTATTAGACTTTGGTGCAAAGGATTTTAATAGTATTTTCGTAAGTGAGTAAGCCTCCAATTTCGTCCTGTGATTTTCACATGCGATCACTTCGTCACGACCTTTGATTCCGAGGGTCAGTACCTTGCTTCCACGAGTTCATGTTTCCTGCACAAGGTTGTTCTACTCCCTTCCACCTCTCTTTCTTCTAATCATCTATTTATATTTCAAATCACGTGTACGTACGTTAAGGACCTGATTCGTTTTAGTCCACTAATACTATCAGTTTACCGCAATGGAAGGTTACAGGTTTTGTTTTCGGTTCTTTCGATTTTAAGAGCGTGGGAATTAGGATGTAGCCAGGATACGTGCGCTAGTGTTATCTTCTTTGCTCTCGTAAACGGAGCTTTGATTCTATTTTGTGAATAAACACACAATCCTTGACCACTTTGCGAAGCTGTCGATCTAAATTGCAAGACTTCCCTCGAGGTACATGAGCGATTGCTGTACTACGGGCGGAATTAACTCTGCAACTTGGTCACAAAGACTAAACGTGCTCAGTGGTAATTTTACCTTTGATGACTTTTTTCTCGTTTAGAAACTGATAA